CCCCCCCCCCGAGGATTTAAAGATGTTAAGTGTCTTAAATAGAGGTTGGATTGTACGGAAAGAGCCATTTTGGTCAAGAAATTGTTTCCAAAAAGCTTCTTAATTGTGACTGGTGTAATCCGTTGATGCAAAAGTGCACCGGGGACAATGCTTACTTGCTTTGTCCCCCCCCAAAAAAAAAATGGGCCTGGATCCTCCCTTGACCCTACAGCGAATCCATGATCCTTTATACTGTAAGAACGATTAAATATCACCTGTGTGCGCCTTTCGTCCACCATGTCCACCCTGAGAAAACGCAGCCCGCCATCAGTTAATAGAGCCGGATTTGCAGGGAGTGTTCAATCATCAAGCGCAATCTCGCTGGTAGTGATATGTTGTTGTTTTGGTTTTGGTTTAATGGCGCCAGCATGCCAGTAAATGGGTCCAAAATGCCTGTGCGGACCGAATCACGATTTGTAGCTATCAAATTCTCTGCTATTAGAGCGTTTCGTGGCACGTGGACTAAGTGGTTTGTAAAAAGGTGGATGAAATCCACGGACAGGTATGGCCACCTCATATTTCTGAACCAAACGGGGCCCTCCGAATTGCCATTATTTTGCAATGGAGTGTAGGCAACAAATTTATTTGTGTTATTTATACACGGGGAACCCATTCACCCAAGGCTGTTTTTCAAGGGGCCGTTCTGAAACTTTTAAAACAGGGGAAAAATAAAAGGAAAAAGTAAAAATATATATAACTACAAAATAAATAAAACCCACTAAATTAAGAATTTAAGAAGAAAATCGTTAAAATATACAAATCAAAATGGTTAACTATATGTACTTAAAACGAGAGATAAACAAAAACCACATGTATTTAAGTTAAACCTGAGCAGAAAAATGGACGTCGAGCAACTAAAAATAGGATTAAAACTTACTAAAACAATTCAGAAACAGCAGTAAAAAATTTGAATAAAATCGCACATACAATTAAAAAAACTGGATGACATGAAATGAAACAGTAATCTCGTTAGACATTTGTGGCCTTCAACTTGCATTTGAAGCCACTAACGCTGTCTGCAGTCATAATTTAATGAAAGTCCAAGTCTGAGCACCTCTGTAACAGAAACTCCGCCTCAGGGATTCCGTTTTGTGCAGTGGTATATACAGTGATTGGCTGCTTCGTCTGAGGTCATAGCCAGTGGTTGTATTTTTAAATTTGTTTTTAAGTACATTGGTGCAAGATCATTTACGATTTTAAACATCATAATTGCCTCGTGATGACGTCTTCTTTCTTCGAGCGGAACCCAGTTTAGCATTTCTAAGTTAACACTGCTAGGGACACTCCAGTATGCTTTGGCTATCTTAAGGGCGCTTTTGTTTTGTAATTGTTGCAGTTTTGTTTGAAGTGCTGTACCACAATTTCCAGATACAACATCACAGTAATCAAAGTGTGGAGAAACTATGGCATTATACAATAGTTTGAGAGTTATTTGGGGGATTAAGTTTTTTACTTTCTTGGTGACATGGATTCCCGCCGGAACCTTCTCTTGTACATGATCAACATGGTCATGTCATGCTAAGTTTTCGTCCACAATAACTCCAAGGTATTTACAACTGTGCACACGTTTAAGCGGGGTCCCGTTGACGTTAATTAACGGTGACGGTGTTATCGTGTATGTTGCGCAGCTTTGTCTTAGTACCCAGCCAGATGAAATCAGTTCTTTCAACATTAGGGCCTCAGACTCAATTTATTTTGATTGAGCCATTCCACTACACGAGTCATATCTTCGTTGATTTTGTCTATGAGATCCGACTCATCTTTGCTGTCATAGTACAAAGCAGTGTCGTCAGCATACATACATAGGCCTACTGACCTCACAATGAGCTACATGCAATGGGAGGTCATTGATGTAAATGATGAACATAAGTCAGCCGACGATGGATTCTTGTGGTATTCCACAACTTACTGCGTGAAAGCTCGAGCTCTTCCCGTTAATTGTGGCGATGGGCCGTATGACTGTTTTCATGGGTGATTTTCTCTGGAGAGAAATATCTTCAAAAGTCATCGGTTAAGCCACTGAAAATTTAAAAGAAAATGAAAGATGACGAAATGAGCTTTGATTTGATATGTATCTAAACACCTGTGAAACTTGTATTTTTCCTGATTTTTTGAAGCGGGGTTATTTAATACTGTTGCGTATGGCAGCTTATTTACTGGTCTGTACCCCTAAACGGTGACCCGCGATGCCTAGCACACATTAAAGCTAGAGGTGTCAGGCCTATTCTTTTCGGTTACGTGAATCTGACCCCAGAGCAGGGCGCCTCGTTCTTGCGCTCACCCTGTAATGAATTTTTATTTCAATTTTTTAATTTCCATTCTTAGGTTCTCAAAATTAAAAAAAAACAACCTCGATTCCAATTCAATATGACTGACCTGTAACTTTGACGTTTACAAGATCTATTTTTTTATTTTATTTTTTTTTTTTGGTTGCTTTGGGGAGATGTTAATTAATATAACGGGTTTTGCCCTTACCCAACGTATATGTTAATAAACACTGTATACTTAGTGCTTTTCCGAGAGCTTGCGAAAAAAAGTCACAAGCTTACTCGGGTGGGACTTTTTTCGCAACCTCTCGAACAAGCACTGAGTATACAGTGTTTATTAATATATACGTTGGGTAAGGGCAAAACTCGTTATATAAATCAACTTTGACGTTGATCTCCATTCTAATGGAAATCAGTGGAATATATAGTCAATCCTATAGAACGCCACAGCTATCTTCGGTGCCTTATATCGTTCGTTTCGACAGTTTCACGATTCAATTTGACAATTTCATTTTGATAAAATCCGGTCTTGCTCATGTGATCGCTGAAGGTTGCTGCCGAACTTTGAGGAGCAGACGACAAGTCCAAAATTTCACGCGCAGTAGCATTGCATTGTGGGTATTGCCAACATTTTCCAACATGGCGCTTCAGCCGGATCGTCGGGAGCTCGGCTACGAGCAGACTTTGGTAAATATGCTCCTTTTTTGACATTATTATTCGGCTTTGTAGATAATGAATTGTTAGAGATGTTGTCACAGAAATACCAGGTCCCCTAAATTGTTAGTTGATGTCATATTCCAGCAAACTAAGCTAATAAAGTAACATAAGAGCACACCGTACTCAGCGGTCACGGCTGTTGGGAGATCTAGTCTGCATCTCGTACTAGACAGTAGACTAGACCTAAAAAAAAGAATCGTCAGTTATGTCAGACGTGCAGTACAGTGCACTCGTACACACAGCATAGTACTACATAGTAGGACTAACTGGGGTCTGGACAACTCAACTGTTTGCCAACTGGACTTCGGACAAATCGACCATTGAGACAACTTGACCGTCCGTGCGTAAAAATGAGAGACAAGTCGACGGCTGAGACAAGTCGTCCGTTGATTGAGACTCTGCCCATGTCCGCTCAGCGTAGCCCCACTAGTGTGGCACGGACTCTCACTCCCAATCCATCCTTAGCCACACATCCGTATACGCAATTTTGTGTCGGTGTACTGAAAATTTTCGGTGCACCCACTTGTTGAAAATTTACACAAGATCCAATTTTTAAATTCATTGGAATTCTTATTTATGAACCAAGTTTTTCTAAACGTAGAAAATTTTCATTAGAAAATAAGCTTTTTACAGTGGTTCTGGCTGAAAATGGATTTGCTTCTCGTGTGGTTACTTTTCTGGAAACCAATCCAGAATGAGAAAAAGTGTCCGATCCTGTACGTTCAAATTAAAAGTTTAAAATTTGAAACTGATTTGGTGGTATCAATATCACACAAGGTGAACGGCGACCAAATTTTACTGGAATTTGAAGACTTGTGTAGAGCTGCAATCTGATTTAATAATTTTCATGATCTTGAACTGGGAAACAACTGTATTATGTGAAGAGATCTCACTGGTCGAGTTTTCTGTCTGTCAAAGTCGAGTTGTCCTAACGGACAACTTGGCAAACGGTCGAGTTGTCTCAATGTTCGAGTTGTCTCAAGGGTCGAGTTGTCCAAAATCGTGTTGGCAAACAGTCAAGTTGTCTGACATCCGACTAACATTGTCCCAGGCTGCTGACATTGTCATAAATGATAGAATAATTGCAAAATCGCCACTCTAAAAAAACAACCCCTGAAATGACTGGTTACAACATGGGTACAAGGTGAAAATCCTTTGAGAAGAGTGTAACACTTTAACCTGTACCTAGCTGCGATGAGGTTGATCGTACAGGGGACAGGGTGTTCTCCAGTTGAGCTTAAATGATGATGTGAGTCACTACGGAAATGACATTACCTATGTAGGCTGCATTGCCGTAGCTTGGACAGCCAGTAGAGCTAAATATTAAAGTAGCATATGATTTAGAGCACAAATCTTGGAGAAAACAGCTACTGTTTATGTTTGTAATGAAATTGTGAGTCTTGGACAGCGCAATAGACCAGCGACCCTATCAACCTTTAGCAGAAGCCCCCCTCATCAGTTTAAAAGACCATGTTGGTGGGGAGTGTTTATTTTGTTGATTGCCATGGCTGGGACCACTCATGCATTTCATAGTCATACATGTACATGTAGTAAGTGTACATGCAGCAGGCCTAGTTGGGGAACCAGCGACGTACAATTCCCACCAAAGGAGCCTCTGTTCCTACATGTACATGGAGGATTATTGGGTCCTCTCTTGGCCCCACTTGGGGTAGATGTGCCCTATTCAGAGCAAGCCAGAAAATTCACAAGCTTCCTCTGGTGCAGACCCATAAACAGGACCCTTCGTATATATTCCTCCGATACTGGGCCCTGACTTGGGATTTCGGAAACACAAGCCACTTTGTTCCTGTTGTTATGTGACATCTGCTAGGTTTCATGAGCTGAAATTTGTACCCTTCAGACTTTGTGCAGGTTACTATTCAGAGAAAATTTGCTTTTCACCACAATTTAAAAAGAAACTTATTGCTACCACAAGACAGTAAAGCATAAAATGCATTCATGAATTTTCATGACAGACAAATTTTGACTTGCATTTTGTCCTGACTCCTTTATGTACCAAGCAGTGGGAGAACCAAGAAATTGCCTGTCTGGTTAATAAAATTGTATGCGAACACAGCCACGACCGTGACTCCTTTACATCTCAATTGAAGGGAGCTCTGAAAAGTACCTGTGCAGTGGGTAACAATCGTGGAAATATTTGTATAACAAAATCACACTTAATCATACTTTAGTGACTGTGTAATATACTGTACAGTGCTCATAGGACATAAAAATTACCAAATGGAAAAAAGATGACACTCTGGAATTAGTTTTACAACACTCACTGTACTGTATTCAGCAGTCGATTATGCCATGACATACATGTGCATGTAATTTTTACTGATAGCATCTTGTTCATTGTTTATAAATAAAACCAAATATGAAAGTCAAGGTACCAGGTCCATGAGATACAAGTAATAATAAAAAAGGACAGTCTGCTACTGCCACAGTTTCCCTTGGTTTTGCAGGTATTACCATGTGTACCTTCAGGCAATGAATTTGGGCATGATATGAAAAATAACATGCATTGATATACATACCGGTAATACACATCTTAAAGTTCAGAGTACCTGTAATTTTTGTAATCACTAGATTTTCTGTGACAGAAAAATGAAAAGGAAACAAAAGAATAAAACGCCTCCTGCTTACATGCTAATTTTATTTGCATCGGTTAGAAAAAAAACGAAATTATGCACACAGTGAATGTTCATGTACATGTACGCACTCGTGTACATGTGTGGATGTGTACTTCACTTTCCATACAACATGTACAAGCAGCTAGTAGTACATGTGCAAGTAAGCAAACAAAACTTGATTAGTCCAATAGGAGTACTGTGGGTTGTCTACGTCCCTCCCTATCCCTTTGGAAAACTTGTTACTAGAGCCCTCTTGAAAGCAATTACCAATTTACATTACATGTACATAGTGCCTATACATGTAAATGTACATATGTGCATGGCAATTAGTCATTGTACCAGCAGGATAACACTTCTTAGACTTTGATTTTGCAAATGGTGTAGATTTCATTTGATTATTTACATTTTAAAATCAAATTTATGACATCAAACTATAACCAGAACAAGAAATATTACTACTGTTCATGAGCTTTCATATTTACATGTACATGTGTTCATGTAGCATCAAGCACCTTCAAGCTTTGTAACAGTCCACCTTATTCACACTTCCCTTGTACTCACATCGCACCCCAACAGGTCAGTTGAATGTACATGTGTGTACAGGGTACATATATACACAAGGACACCATGCATATTTGTTATAGAACCAAAGGAATACAGGAAACGGATATGATCGCAGTGTCCCTGACTAAACCCTTGTCTTTTGAAATGTATCAAGCTTGATCGTGCATTGTTCATTATAAATTGTGATGGCATGGGATGACTCTACACTGACTGACCATTACTCATGGAGTCTTGCTTTGGGGAAACCACAAAATATGGGCCTGGAAAAAGTTTTTTATAGCTCAAGGTTATACTGTTACTAAATAGGTTCTGAGATTGTCTGACTCTGTGTGGGTGCTGCAAGCTAGTTACAGTCATTGTCTAATATTTTTTAGTAAGAACTGGCGAGTGTGGATGATGAGGAAAAGTTCATCTACATGTTGAACTTTGGAGTTACTTGAGGTCTCCTTAAATGTGGCTATATCAGGAATTGAACTAATGTTGGCGTCATGGCTTACGTAGAAGGGACGTACACTCAACCATTTGTATCATTTCTGAATGCTATGCCACATTTAATGACTAAACTGCATTCACACAGCCAGCGATATGACAGCGAAGCTGATGAGGAACTTGATCTACTGCAAGGCAATCTCAAGCCACATTCAAAATGCCTCAGGTGGCACCCTAGACTGCCGAAGTCACACAATGCACAACACTCGAAGTCCATCACTAAGTGCAAATGCTCCAAACTACGGCACTCATGCCCTGGAAGGATAACACATGCAAACAGCATCCACTTCAATCTTAAGCGTGATGCAGTTACAGAATTGCAGTTAATCCAAGTCGGCAGTGAGCCGTCCTTTACTCCTGTTGATGGTACTCCTGATGATGCAAGTTTTGCATCTTTCACATCATTCATCAGTACTAAGAACAAGACACACAAGTTAAAGCAAAGCCAAAGAGAGAGTGACAGTCACTTGGGCCCGTATCACAGCCAGAGTTCTTCCAATGCAAGACTGACTTCTCATGTAAAGAATTATGGTTCCATTACAAATAATGGAACATTACCAACTATTAAATTTACAGAAGTGGACAAGAGGCTGGGTAAGATTAATGGTTCCAACCTCCCTCCAAATCCACAGATGTATGGCAGGTACCGGCAGGAGCTGAGTCAGTTTGCTAAGAATGAGGCAGCCAGACAAAGGGAGGAGAAAAAACGACAGAAGCAATTAGATGATGAATTCCGACAGTATAGAGGCACCTGCTGCTATACAGTCAAATGTAAGTAGTGCTCAAATGTTTGTGTTCCATTTATACAGGTTATACATTTCTTAATTGATGGAATTTTACAAAAGTGGACATTTCAATATTGCATTCCACTGAGAAAATGTGTCCCTCTGTGCTCTTATTAAAACTGAACAATATGGTGACGATGCAAAATCTATGTTACAGCATTTCCATGCATTTCATTCAAAGCTGCAAATTTACTTACAAAATATGCACATGTTAAGTCTGAGATGTGACACGTGACCTGCTTTGTAGATATATTTTGTTTCTGCATCAGGTTGTACATGTAGGTCCTATGTGAGAAGTACTTTCTTTTCTTGTATTCTATTGATCGATTGATATCATATCAATATTTAAAAAGGATTTTGACATGAAGATTTGTGAGCTTACCAGTGGAGTTTAATTTTCCAACCTGTTTTCTCTTTTTTTCAGAAGGATCAAGAGTACCTACGTGTATTTAGTGTGGTTGAGGTTGCATGTACAGTGTTACATGTACTTGTAGTATGCTTTCTGTTCACAATGTATCCAAAGTTTTTCATCATTATTGAATGTGTGTCAGTAGGGGTGTTTCTCCACCAGTTTCAGTTAGGATTTACATGTTTAAAATTGGTGTCGCCTTTGTTGCAGCTAACTTGATCTGGTTCCGTGACTTTGTCTTCAGTAAGATAGGGGAAGACTGGATTTTTCTAGCTCTCCTTGGCATCATTATGGCCTTGCTGTCATTTGCTATGGACTATGCCATCGCTAAATGCCAAACAGGTAAGGAACTCTGAACAGCAGTGTTTCCAAAGCCTATTTTTTTCAATCAGACTAGATTTTGTTAATGCTTTTTTGGGGTTGTGCATAAACTACATGTGGGTAATTCCAGAAATTAGGGGTCCGATTTTTTTGTGTGTCCCTGTCACATCTGACGTAGGATTTTGAAAGTTCAGAACCATTTTCTAATTTCCAATTATTGCAAATGACCAGCCAAACAAATAGTAATAGTTTGAAATCAATTCTGGTGATATGTCCATGTCAAATAACAAAGGTCAGATGTAACAGGGACACAAAAATGTCACACTTCTGGACCCTTAATTTCTGGAATTACCCACATACATGTACTTATATGCACACAGACCCTTCCCCTGTATTCTGCATTGGAATTTCACACACAGTGATTACACAACCATGACAACCCATTGGCATATACCTGTACATGTACACATTTCAGACCACCCCATTCTAGCATCATAATATTGCAAACTAGCCAGCAGTGGCATTGGGAAGATACATAAATCTGCCTGTACACTTACACGTTGAGATGACTGGTACCGTACACAATTACAGTGCCAGTTGTTTGTGATTTTCTTATATAAAGGCTGGTCTTTGTAGGTATTACATTTTGTAAATGTGCGAAGTACCTTGACTTCATTATGATTATTACAATTACACATGTGTGATGCTGTTGTGTATGGACCTGTACACATTAGCTTGGTTCCCTACCTCCCCTTGCATTGTGTGCACTTGTTAACCCCCTTTTCTGGTCAGATTTAAGGGATATGGTTAGAACCTGCATACCCTGATGCTTAATCAAAAATAGTGGATACCCATCAGTGGGTTTCACCATTAACCCTAACCCTGCCAGATGCAGCACAGTGCACCAGGTGAAAAGTTTGATGCACTGTGATGCACTTGGCAATCAACAATTAAGAGGGAATTTAAGCTCAGGATATGTGATGTACACTCTGGCACATGTGTTCTTTAAGGTAACATCAGGACCATTCAGTAGGCTCGTAGGCAGGCATGAACCTTGTACATCATGTCAATGTTTTGTTCTCCCGGCAGCTCAAGTACAACTCTTTATGCTCTTGAAGGGCCTTCCTGTTCTACAGTACTTTGGCTGGGTTGGCTTCTCTATAATCCTCATCATATTCTCTTCAGTATTTGTGCATCTAGTATCACCCAATGCTATAGGTAAGAAATGACCCAAGCTGCAGAGTCAAAAGTTGTGTCTCTTGGGTAGTGGCAGTAGGATTGTTGGACTACTGTACATGTATATATAAATTAAGTCTGTGAATCCACATGGACGCCTTGAAACAAGACTAGTACCGCATGGCAAAACGATGGAACCATGGCAGCAAAACAGAAGACTATTCACATATTTCTTGAATTATTGGTGTACCATAGCTGAATGGGCCCTCGGAAGTGTTCAATAAAGTGTGAAGTTTTCAGTCACAAACTTACATTTTAAGGCTCAGATTTAATGTTAACTTTCTGAAGTTTATCGCACTCCTTCCAAAGAAAATGGCAGGTCAGTGTCCAACATTAACATACATGTATTGTGATCAACAACTGTTATATGCAAGACCTGCCGTTACTCTGTGACTTCACTGTACATGTACATGTATGTAATCTGATTTCATACACGAGGAGTGGCACATAAATTGTCCATTGATTAATTGTATGCATAGTTCAAAACTTGCTGTCCTATTTCATGCTTACGAAGGTATGAAACAGAATTTGAATTTCTGAAGCGGAATTCGGGATTTGGCAAAACGGAAAATACCCATTTTTGAAACGGGAAAATCATTGACTCTACAAATGGTGTTTAATTCACCGATGCAAAAAATACAGCCAAATCACAGTTAATTATTACACAGTTGAACAAACCCACACAACCTTTTTTATGTAATTTTACAAATTTCATTGGCAACATCTGAGCGTGGCAATGCAGCACCCAATTTTGCCTTTTCATGAGTGAATTCAAGGATTGCTCTTTCTTGGCATCTGGTAAATGCACATGGAAGGCAACATAGCTGCAGTTCGCACATAACCGTGTAATCCAGTCTATTACTTTTCACAGAGGGGAGACCATGGCCATTTTACATGAGGGTGGATAAACTGTAACACTAATTGTTGAAATGTCACCCTAGACCCACTGTTGGCCCTAATTTTTAGTACTCTGTGCTTCTTGACAGGTTCCCAAATTTGAATCCCAAAACAACCTCTAATTTCAAGGAATCCCTGAAACACAGATGTATTTGACTGTTTGCTGCAGGTTCTGGAATACCTGAGATGAAGACCATTCTAAGAGGTGTGGTACTGAAGGAGTATCTATCATTCCGCACTCTGATATCCAAGGTCATTGGAGTGGCAGCATCACTTGGCAGTGGCCTACCCATTGGAAAAGAGGTGAATTTTTCAATTTCACTCCCCTTTTTGATCATTTACTTGTGTATCCATTTTGATACCAGGGAATTGAGATTGAGTTTGCTCTGAGTTTTCCTGTTCTTATTAGCATTATACTTCTCAATGGGCCAGAGCACATGTACATGCACCTCCAAAAATACAAGTAATTATATATAAATTTATTTATAGTTATAAAATAACTATAAAAAATACACACATTATATGCAGCTGCTATCGGGACAGTTTATGTACATGCGTATCAATAATGCGTGGCATATGTTTTTGAAAATCGACAGTGTTATCAAGGGGAAAGTTGCATTTATACCAATTTTGTTTGTGTCCAAAAGAATTGTCAAGGGATGCTTTGCTGTGTTAACTCTAACCACCTAGCCCCTTTTGGCTAGAATACGCCCTCAGTCTTTCAAAATCCTCCAATTGCCCCCATGAAAAATTTGGATAAAGCCTCAATCTCCCCAAATCCTCTGATTTTTCTTGAATCGTAAATTTCCCAATCCTATCCATTTATAACACCAGAGTTTGTTGAAATTTGATGGGTTGAGTTCTGTGTACATATGAAACTTACTGCACAAAGTGTTGGATTCTGACAGGATGAGTACTGTACAGATGCAGTAGCAGTATTGGGTTTTGACTGAATGGGGATGGTTGGTATTACCCAGTACTTGTTGCTGGGTGTTGGGATGAATAGTGCTATTGGGATGTGTGTACCTGTAAACAATAAGGGTCATTTGGTCATGTACCTGTGCTTAAGGAGTAGAAAAAATTGCTCTAGTGTATTTGGTGACTTTGCTTTTTAAGAGAAGTCAAAGATAAAAACAAAGAAATCTGAGGCCCCCCAAAACAAAGAAAATTTTTTATAGCCCTGCAGTTGTTGGATCTTGAAGGGATGAGTACATTTTGTCCTCTTTCCTTATACACACATGTACACATGTAGTATATGACGAAGTATCCCCACTCAGCCAAACCCAACAGTTTACTGCCTGTTGGAGTTTGTTGGGCTGTGTACTGATACAGCTAGTGGACTGTTGGAATCCGGTGGGTTGAGTACTGATACATGTATATATACCCCACCCAGCAGTGAAAGGGTGTTGGAATTTGACGGTTTGAGTCAATCTTCTAGAAAAAAAGCTTTGGGGGTTAGGGATAATTGTTTTGTTGCAGGGTGCCCACTGCCGCAATCCTTCAAAATCCTCCGGCAATTCGTCTCTTTATGTTGAGGCAGTGCGAATAGCATCCTGGAGTTGAGGATAGTTATGATTAATTTACCAGTACATGTAGTCATTATAAACCAGGGTTTCCCCTTAGTGGTCGCCCGCTAGCCAAATGCGAGTGAAAACAGTCACGGGCGAGTCAAAACACTTTCCTCATTCATCTGGTGGGGGAGTTAAAATATGTACACGTTCCTTGTTTTTCTGATGTGATTAAAGAAAATAAAACAAAGTCTTGATTTCAAAGCTTTACCTTTTGTCGGTCATGAATGTAACTTTATATTATTGGAATCAATTAAACTCCAACACCGCTTCTGACTCACACCTGGAATCCTGTATTGTGTGCTGGGACTATGTGTACATTGTACCTGTTACCTATCATCAACGCATCAACGATAGTTTCTCCAGTAGTCAGTGACTTCTATACATGACCAATATAATTAACATACAATTCGCACTGGGAACCAGATACCGAAAACCGATACTGCATCCGTAGACTGGTGCAATCTGGTTCGTAAGTGACTTCGTTGTACCACTGATCACAAGCCCCTCATTGGACAATAATGCCGGGTGAGTGAGTAGGGAACGGGAACCAGTCTACCCACGAACCGCTATCACCCCATGTGATAGCGGTTGATAGAAACGTCTTGGTGGCCCAACTTTCTTAAGTCCAAATACTGCTTTGTTATTTTTTTTCACACATTTCATGGGCTAGTAAAAATCTGTGGGCTAGTAAAAATCACATTTCACTAGCCTGGCAGGCTACTGCAAGAAAAAATAAAGGGCAAGCCCTGTAAAGTCACCACAAAAGGGCTAGTCATGTTTGCAGTGTTTTCACAAGGGTTAAACATCACTCACTGTGTTTAAACACATGGAGACTGTTTCAAGATTGAACAAGTAGCCAGTCTGTAGTTGGATTGAAGCAAAAGAATAGGGTTTGTTTCTAGAAGATTGTATTTCATTTTGCAGTCAATAATGTACTGGTATATGAAACAATCAAACACTACTATTCATATATACTAGTTCTCTTTAGTCATGGTGGTATGTTTTTGTCATATACAGGTCATCCAAACATGATGACAGACTGTCTTGATGTGTCATTTTCATGAGTTTTGTTTTGACACTATGGCACTGTATGAATGGAATGCAGTACTGCAGTGTCGTGTCAAGAAGTACATGTGCATGTGTCTCAAATGAACCTTGTTACAAAAACAGGAACAGCTTTGTGATATCATATCCAAAATACACTTGCTTGACCGGTATATTCTTTACATGCACATAAACTATGGTAGTAGCATGCACATTTGCTGTTCGAACAGTGTTTGATTATTTTTTTGTAGCACCCATACATTTAACACTCTGCTGTGGTGTGGTGGCATCACTGTGAATGACACAGCAGTGTCTCAAGTCCAGATGCAGTTCTTTTTGTTTTGTTTATTACAATACTGTCGTTTCAAAATAGTGCGCCTGCAGGAGTTTACAACGCGTTGGCCAATCACAATGCACAAAAATTGTCTACCCAATGCGCGTTTAGAAAGGGTCAACAAATTTCGAGCATTGTGATTGGCCAACGCGTTGCAAACTCTTGGAGACGCCCTATTGTGAAATGGCCGTATTGCTTTGTTTCCTTTTTTATTGTGTTCTTTATAGTGTCCATTGTTAGCAAACCTCATTTGTTAAGGCTTTAACTTTTTGTGGGCTTGTGCTTGGGTGCAAATAATGAGAAATAGAGGCTTTGCATGGTAACCATCCTGCGGGGAAATTCATGTGTTCCACATTCAAATCTCCTTTGTGCATACCCTGTGGAACAAAACATTGGCTTCCAAGATGGCAGCCATGGATACCTTCTATTGAAATTTTCCCCTCATGCATCATCAGAAATAAACAAGGCGCTTTAACCAAGCATAAGAATCCATGACACCTATTACAGAAAAAAGCTTGTTCATTTTCACAAACCCTTTTCCAATAAATTTACGTCTATTTAATATACAGTCAGTAAATGTTGGATAATGAGCTCGAGTTTCTGGCTGAAAAAAAAATTAGGTAAAACTGAAATGTACCAAATCTGGTTTTAAACTACATACATGTACAGTGTGCGTTGAAGGTAAAACACCGGATATTTTAATTGCTGCTTTCATGTTTTTGTTTTTTTGTTTTTTTTAATGAGATAATATTCTTTTCAGTCAGCCATACTGAGCTGATACCTATTCTGAAATGATTTTGTTCACTACAGGGCCCCTTTGTGCATATTGCCAGCATCGTGTCCACCATGCTCAGCAAACTCATTGTCACATTCAAGGGCATCTTTGAGGTAAACTATCATGCAAACTATCCTGTATTTATAAGTGCTGTGCTTACACTGTATTTAAACAAAAGGCTGCACACTGCCAAAAAAGAAAGTTTGTACACAGTCATGCTTATGAAGTTCATATTTTTGCTGGGGGTCCACATGTAATGATACCACTTTTCCATACCTGCCAACTGTTCTGATTTAATTTGAACTGTTGCATTGTTGAAGTTTTCAGTCTGCCAAAAATTGGAGCGTTTCAATTTCTATAAAAAGAAAAATTTTATAAGAAAAGTCCCAACACAGAGGGTTCTCTTGCAAGAAAAGAGGGCTGTACATGTATTTGAAAAAGCAAAATGCCAAAACAGCAGTTTATAGAAAGAATTGTGACATGAGTATCTCAGTTGTTAGAACTAAAATGGTGGATTATGCGTCAGTGCACATGGACAAGTACCACAAAGTAGCTCCATGTACTGTGACTGCACACATAATGAACAGCCATTTTGGTTCCAAGGTCTGAAATTGGCACTGCCTTGCATGTACAGCTCTGTGTCAAAATGGCAGTTACACATACATGTGTGTCCATGTAAATGGCTTCTCTTGCGTGGCTGCTTGTTTTACTATAGGCTCAGAAAATGGGTGTTCCTGTATGTCTGACTTCTCAATGTTGGCAGGTATGCTTTTTCATCTGATACGCGTTTCTTCTGCAATACCATGCTAACAATGCAACGTGTATCACAATAGTTCTGTTAACTTAAATTTACAATCAAAGTTATGACACCCGTTAGCATTTTTTCATATATTGGACACATGTGCACATGCACAATTAGTTTTGCATGCGTCTTCCTGACATTTGTTATTGTCTATAGCTGCAACAATTGTTTGTTAGTTTCAATGTCCATCCATAGTTAATAAGAAATGATTTTTTTTCATTAGTAGTTTACAAGATATGTTGCCATAAATCTGGACTTCCATTTCTTGAAATAGACTTAAGTTAGAGTTTACCCACAGCCAGGTATTTGGAAATTCCAGATTCAGTACTTCCTAATAAGTGTAACTTTTTAATTGGAGGTTGAAGATTTGTATGAGCTGTGTAAGAGCGGCTGCATCTTTATTGCCTATGTGGTCATCAATGTGGTCAATTGCCCCTTTTCAGAATGAGTCTAGAAACAGTGAGATGCTAGCGGCAGCCTGTGCCGTGGGTGTATCTTGCAACTTTGCTGCCCCCATCGGGGGTGTGCTGTTCAGCATTGAAGTCACATCCACTTACTTTGCTGTACGGAACTACTGGCGAGGATTCTTTGGTGCTGTGTGTGGAGCATTTGTCTTCCGGCTGTTGGCTGTGTGGAACAAAGATGAAGGTGTGTTAGGCTGGAAGTTTAGCCAGAACCCCTCCACAGTCATTTGGCTGGAAACCTTGCTCACCACATAATACGTACAACAATTGAGAAAAGTTTTCCAACTTAACAAGATCCGTTAAGATCCAATGTCAAGCAGCCATTTCATTCAATTGTCTCAGAATTGGCACTTTTTGCTGCTAGTGTTGACTGCTCAATTGCCAACAAATTTGTGCACCAGTTGTGCAAGTTTTTGTTCAGTGCTGTTCGGGTCAAGGGACCATCCTTTTTTGGCTTTTTTTCACAGAGAGTACTGTCTGCATAACCTTTCCCTTCATAAGGTGCACAGGCTGAATAGGAAAACATGCTGATTTATGTACTGAGTGTTACCGTCTGTAATACTGTACTTTAAAGTGTGTTTGGCTAATAGTGTTGTAAAAATGATAGAAATGGATGACTCAGCTTTTTTTGTTAATCCTGTAGGCACTTTCCAGCCACATGAAGTACCAGTAAAGCTTGTTTTCTGACCCGTCTGCTAACAGAACTGTCTATTCATCAAACCATTAATCCCCTTCCAAAGTTCACTGAATAGTCAACTGGTCCCACCGATATCCATGGGCAGTTGAGTATGTACATAGTGAACAGAGTACAAATGAATGTATGCCAAGAGTCACAGGTTCTTTTGTTTTTTATTTCTCTTCACAGATTTGTCAAATTACATGAAAGTTTACACAATTTTGCTCAGAAAAAAAGAAATGAACATGTACAGTGTATGGTTTGATATAAGGTGCTGGTACATATAGTCTGTGCATGGAGTAAAACAACACAAACTAGGTTTTTCAAATTCTTTGTTGTTAAATGTTGTGAAACTGATGTTTGTTTCAGAAACGATCACTGCTCTTTTCAAGACAACCTTCCGAGTGGATTTCCCATTTGACCCTCAGGAATTAATTGCCTTTGCTTTTATTGGGTAAGGCTCACAACTTATGTAGTTCAGTACCAGCTGATGGCAAACATGTGAAAACACTATGGCATCTTGGGAATCATTTCTGTTTTGCCACTTGCAAATGATTTGTGGTTTCTTTCCAGTCTTATGCCTGGCCTGAATAGTGTCGAACAGTGGAATCTTCATGGAGCAAGGCCTGGTTGACCTAACGCTCATTGTGCACTATAAATCACATAGAATCTTGTTGGGTTCAGCATGTTTCTAAAGGGTTACCCTAATTTTTTGAATATAGGCTGTATGGTGTATAAGCCGCACCAAGCAAAAATCTGGTCAACTCAGATTTAAAGTTTGCATATTAACAGCACTGGTGTATAAGCCGCACCGTGGTGTTGACTGTGTCATGTAGAGAATTATGGGGCATACTTTGATGTTCACTTGACTTTCTTCATATGGTGCTGCCAAACCTCTTTGTTGAAAAACTTCAAATCCAGTTGGTTAAATGATGATACTATTACCCTCACAGTACAGGCTTTTGAACCTTTATGAACAATTTCAGTGTCATAGAATTTTGTCTCAAATCCAAACAGGTTGACGTACAGAAATTGGGCAGAAATTCAGCTAACCTGGCGTCCTTGAAAAAAATCTCAGTAAATCCCACAAATTTCAGAAGTTCTTTAAAATTGATAAATTCTAGTAAATCATTATCACTTCCAATAACATACCCAACTAAAACAGTTCATTTTGCTCTTTGGAAAAAAATTTGGAAAACAGGCCAAAATAAAATTTTATCGGAACAGAATATTTGGAGTTTGATTAAATTTCAACTTTTATAAAATTGGTGGTAAAATATTGCACCAATAATACACAAATGTTAGATGCAAAAAATCAAAGTGCCCAACATCAGGGTCTGCACACCTTTGGGTACACAATCTTTAAGTGCGCAAACGAGTGTTGCTCCTAAACGTAAACTTTTTCTTTGGAATTATCAGTCTACATGGGCTGGATTATTTTCCTTACTGCTTGGGCCATGCATCAGTTCTTTTATTCTAACAGTGTCTGAATGACCAGTGAAATAATAAACAACTTGGATTACACAACCATGAAAGCAAAAATGAACAGACGCACCGCATGCAATTTGTGAGGTGTTAACATTACTTATGATACCTTTACAAGTCTATTCAGTCCCCCTGGACGGATTTCCTTCATTCCCGACACGTAAAGGATGAATTTAAATTGCAACCAAACAAACCATGACTGCCTGTTCCCGTGCTGCGGCCAGAGCATTGCACCACTTGCACATGTGGCTGGCCAGCGGCGGCCCAGGTTAGGCTGCGCTGAGGCACATTGCGGTGTTTAGTGACTGCTTTCATTCTTAAAATGTTGCAGTATAACCTGCCTTCAGTACAACCCGCAGCGACCTTTTTTAGCGTGAGAGTCAACAAAAATTACAGTTATTAATATAACCGACTGAAATGTATGTGTAATATCCAAAAAATGCTTATTGTTAACACAAGTGGGTGTGTGGACATCAGGTATTCTGCTGCATATGACCCATTGTGTAGATACCTCACGGAGATACATGTAGCTGTAAACCTTAGCCATTGCAACCCTAGACACTGTTTGTGCTCTCAACAAGTTTTGAAAAGAGGCTTACATAAATTCATTTTTGTACAGCACTTATAGCCTTCAAAATGTAGGTTTAACACTGGATGATTCTTCAAACCAACGCAAAAGTGGAGCAAATTTGACATCACAAAACATTTGCAGCAAAATTTGCTTGAATAGTTAAGAATGTGTAGTCTGCATCACAGTTCATGACAAAACACACTGACTGGCATAAATGATGAAAGAAATACCACCTTATGCACCCGTGAGCCCTGCTGGCAATCTTAATGAGGCTCAAATACCGGTATTCCAGGACCATAGGACCTAAGGAATACGTTTTTTGTAGTCACTCATATTCCCCCACCCCAAGTTCATACATGTAAACGTGCTAGTGCCCTTATTTCAAGTCAGTGTGCATATGTTTTGCATGTATATTCGGTGACATATATTTAAAAACACCAAGTACATGTATATAGTGTTGTCTTAGAGCTTGTGAAATTTGTCGCAATATCAAGTGTACAGAGCAGAGTTTATAAATACACACTTTGGAATGGCAGATCACAAAAATACATAACTAACATCTTCTTGACTCTAACATATCATGTTAAAAAAGGTTTTGTATATTTAGTATTTGTACATGTAGTTGAGGCTCTCTGAGAATGTGCACAGTCCTCCATGCATTTGCATTAGTGACAGTGAACAGTAGACTTCAATTTAAATCTACATTTTTGGCTCCTTTCTTTCAGTATTGTGTGCGGATTTGGTGGCGCCCTTTTTGTGTTTGTTCACAGGCGCATTGTAGACTTCAACAGAACACACAAGAAAGTCAGTGCTTTCTTGATGAAAAAGTAAGTCAACAATGATGTCATTTGCAGGATACTAACATAAGCTTTTTCAAACTGTTTGGTAGCCATAGTACCAACAGGTTCCTTAAATGCTTCCTTTGAGCTCACAAGTATTATTTGTGTTCTAATGGGAATTTACTGTATTCCCGTAAGGAATACTCCATTCCCAAGTTAGACCAGGGTACCCATTTGGGAACATTCATAGTTTTTTTAAAGGAGCAGCAGCTGTTCCCTATCCAAGCAAAGTTCTCAGATTTTTTTTTTTCCATTCCTTCTTTTAACGTGCTCTGAGGCCTATGTGTCTTATGATATGCAAATGTCTTTGCTGTGTTTACCTGCAACATCAGAATTTATCCCATTCATCTGATTGGTGAATTGTAGATCCCATGACATGAAATATTCTAATCAGTACATAGTGCACATGTCTATTAGCTAAAAATGTGCAGTATAACTATGCAAAACTGTGTGATGGTATATTTTATCCGAACCGAATTTCATGCATTTACAGTTAAGTAGACGCTGTAATGCGGGTCTCTTCACAGGAAATGGCAGACAGTTAATGATTCATGCAAAGCACCAGCCTTCCTAATGAAGAAATCTCTTAAGTAAACTGATGCTTCTGAATACATAACCACATATGCTGTTAAAGAATGAGAGCAATTGTTAAGACACCCAGGAATATCCGTTCAAGCAAGAACTGATTTGTAATGTGGCAACTTGGTGTCGTGATTTTATGACAGACTGAGAAAAGAAAACGGCTACTTGTACACAGCAGGTGTTTTTCAGGCATTGCAACAATGTGTATTTAGCTACAACCTCAGAAAACCTCAGAAAAGTTGTAATCTGGAACCCTGTATGTGTACATACATGTATGAATGTCTTTGTTTATGACATCTAGATTATTTAAAGATGAATAAATTAGATGGGTTAGGTGTTGCAAACTGTGGCATTCAAACGACAAGCAGTTCATTTGACAAGCTCAAGTGTGGATGTCTTGTTGGGAAGGTTGCAAATTAATGTATTCAAACAATTACAGATAGTTCATTTGACAAGCTCAGATGTGAGTATATTGTTGAGAAGTTTGCAAACTGTGATACTCAAACAACATTTGGCAGACAGTTCAATTGACAAGCTCAAATATGAATGTCTTGTGAAGACGGTTGGGCCCTGAACAGTTAATGGTACATGTACATCTTCTGGACCAGCACTCTTAGTATCAATATCGTGAGCTGTTTGGATATGTTATTAATAGTCTATGTAAGATCAACAGCCTAACTTTATTCAGTGTTGGGACAATGATATTGAACCCTCAAGTGAATGATGATTGTTCAACAAGAGTGAGTCATTTCTTTACATTTGCTGTTTTCCCTGCAGTCGCTTCTTGTATCCCTTGGTGGTATCGCTTGTCATTTCCTCCATTACGTTTCCCCTGGGTCTTGGACAGTTTATGGCTGGAGAGGTAAGTTTTTTTTATTGTTCTGTTTTTAGGAAATACTGATAAGTTGTTCCTAAATTTGTTACAGATATTGATTTGTGCCCTTAAACCACTCTGGCATAGGAAGTTGTTATATACATGGCAAGGAACTGAATTTTGTACATGTAATTAGTGCTGCAAGTAGGTGCCAAGGCTCAGTTCGGGTTTGTTTGGAAGTTTGTTGCCGAACTTCGATTCGGGTTTGGACACGTACACACATGCACATGTACACACGTATACATATATACAATGCACATTGAGACATCGAAGAGCAGGCTACAAATGTGCTGTATGTAGTACTTCCACGGGTAAACTATGTTAATACAAGCAATGAATCTCATCTCCATCCCCGTCCGTGAGCAACTTAGATGTGAACATAATATTTTTCTAAACTGTTTCCCAAAAGTTTGTTTAGGAGTTAAAATTCCTTAGAAAGTTCCATTGGAGGTATGACAGTTTCCGACCGTGTTTTGCCAACTAAAAGCGGTTGTTGAGCGCTAGACTCAACAAAATGATCACAGTATATGTGAAAACAGCATGCTCAAATTGGAGTTTCCTCCTTTACAAGATACAAGATCAAATTACATTTCGAGCGAATTGTGTTTTGGTTATTTTCAAGAAACAGATTCAACTGCCAAACCATGGGTTTTGATGTATTAGAAGAAGAACCTTGGTATCAAGTCAGCATTATTACCCAGGACAGCACCCACGTGGCCAAAGGGGCAATTTTCCATCAGTCTTTTTCGAATGGATAATGGCATTTTGTTATTTGAGATTTGCCAACAACTTAGAGATCTGGCAAAATTCCAATATAACGTATTCACACTACTACTTCAATCAAACATGATCAACAAAAGGCAGGTTGGGCCACCGCTCGAACCAAATCTTCTTGCGCACCCGAGTTGGGGTGCTGCACCTGCCCGCTTGGCAAAGTAAGTTTTTCTCACCAGAGTTGCCTTTGATCGAGCACGATTCCGACCGTGATCTGCATCCAATTCAAATTATTTTTTGCATGGCCGTTTATGACATCATTGGCCTAATATGGAACGTAAGGGTGTGGCTATCAGAGATGGACAAACATAATGCTAAATCTGAATATGCATAAGCGCAATTGGATGAAGTGAAAATTTAGAATGTTTGTGCAGTGGAAATGCTGTAGGTTGCATATTCTCGATTGATTATTAGTGCATTCTCACCACATGGTTTTAACCACCATCGCAAGGTGCGGAGCCATCGTAAGTTTACTGTACATATATGTACATGTACAGTACATTTATAGTACGTGTGTACACGCACATGTGCCGAGTGCCGGTGCAGCACAACTCGTTATCCATTTTTTTGTTGTGTTTGCTTTTTATCACCTTTTCTTGCATGCACTAAAGCCGAACATCTGAGCCAACCAGTTTGGCTCAAAAGTACCATGTTCGACGATTGTTGGTTCGGTTTGGCTGCAGTACTGTTTGTAATGAAATGTGTACTTTTTATACCTGTATAAAAAGTAGTGGAAGACCTACTTTAACTGTGAGTTTTTTGTAGAGTACTACATGTATTATCATTTGTTGGTTGTAAGTGCTTTTCCATGCCACCTGCAAACCCTATTACTTTGATGTTATTTTAGACACCAACTGTACAATAATGCTTGGAGCAAAGCATAAATAATGCATGCAAAATGGAATAATTGTTGATTTGGTTTGCTCCTTGACCTGCCTTACACTAAATGAAAGAAAAGGGTATTCATTTACTTGAATTTAATGGAGAAAATTCACTAAAACAAAATTGTGGCAACTGTTTATGCTCAAAATACTAGTGACACAGGAACTGTCATCTAAGAAGTTGTTCAGCTTCCTTATGAATAAAGAAGTTAGAATGACTATGAAAATCTTTATACATGTCATAAAAAGACGTCACTAAGTTTAAAGTGATTCATTAAAACAAGTTCAAGAATTGAATGGAAAAATCATACCAACGGTACCTGGTATGTTTTTCCTTTTATACCTTTCTACCAGGAATGGTCACTAGGAAATCTAGGCTCATATTACCGTGCAATCTTTTGTGTTCATTAGTTGACTCAGAAGCAGCAGATTGACGAGCTCTTCAGCAACACAACGCTAGGGAATGATCCAACAGCCACCATAGACGAGGAGAACAAGTTTAAGCCTTGGCATCGGCCCAATGTCTTTGTCACTCTTGGTGTCTTCATCGTCATGCAGGTAAGTACACTGAGTTCATGTGGGCCTCTTGCATGCACAGAGATGTGAGATTAATAGAGTTCTGCCAGTCAAGTACTCATACAAGCTACAGTAGTACATTTTACAAGTAGTAATATTTTGTAGCTTTAGTTGAGATTAATGCTGATGTATTCTCAGAGGTCTACAGTGCTGTAAAATCAGGGTGTGTATGGAAGTGAGCCATTCAAAAGACTTCAGATTATAAGGGTAAGAAGTTCTTGCAGTTTAAAATGAAGAATTGTCTAGGGCATGCATGTGATGATGTGTTCTTTAGTTCCTATTACTCACTTAGCTTTTTCTGTGGGTCCTTTACATGAATGGACTCCTTTGATGACCAGAATTATATCATTTCTGTGGTGGCACTTCACTCGTAGGCAGTTGGTACAGGTATATTTCTTGCACATGTACATTACATGCCTCTTCAACCAATGTGGTATTCTAACTTACCTGAATGCTGCCTGTCTCAAGTTAATAACCACATGCATACATTGTTCTTTTGGCAAAATTTTTGACCTTGCCAAGTCTTGATACTCAGCAAAACGCCACAAATACTGACTTGATAGAGTCACTGGAAAAATATATGTATGTTTTTTCTTTCCACATTCTCAAATTTTGCAACACTGCAGGGAACCACCATGCAGCAATAATCTGCTTCAACAAAAGGCTATGTACAACAGCCAAGTTTAAGTTCAATTCACAGTTGACTCCCCCACACTTACCTTACATACCTACTGTAGACTTTCCTTTCCTTTTGTGCAGTTAAGAAAACTCAGTGAAAATACTTGTTTTTCTTAAACTGGGAACACGATTTTCAGCTGGCTTTTTGTACAAGGTTTCCTTGACTATTCCTCTTCCTTTTACGACGAAGACCCCTACCCCAAAGTGCCTCCAAACCTCTTTTTCAGAGAAGGGGAAACGTCCTGTGGACGTGTGTAAGTCCACAGAATGTCTTCCTTTCCTGCATCGTGTGGACATCTTTTGTTCACAGGTTCACAATAGGTATGTAAGGTTAGCGCCCCAGACTTTGTTGGTGCAATATGTACCAAAAAAAAGGGGAAGGAGTGTGTATACACGTCTACTGGCAGTGACAGAGAGCAGGCAAGATGGTTGTCAGCTTTCAGTGTGTTTAAAGACTGTAGGATCATGTTGACATGCCCTCCACTACAAACTAGTCAAAGAATGCTTGAGTGAGTGTGTTCCCTCCACAGTTATGCTGTCTTTTCAGAAACAAGAGACAGAGCCTTTTTACCTCGCAGAGATATGTGAAGGCTCACTGTGTGCTTCCTGGTTCATGTGGATGTGTTATAGATATGTCCGTAGGTCATCTTGCATGGCTCTGTGCATTGCCACAAATGATGATGAGTTTCAGAACGGGACCCTTGGTTACAACAGTGTCATTATTATCTCTCCATTCTTTCTGTTCTTTCCTGACCCTAGTTCTGGATGACTGCTCTCGCTGTCACACTCCCAGTACCAGCTGGAGTGTTCATACCTGTTTTCACATTAGGAGCGGCTTTTGGCAGACTGGTGGGTGAATGTATGGCAGCATGGTTCCCCCAAGGTATACATACATCGGATGCTGTCGTCAACAAAGTCATACCAGGCGGATATGCTGTAGTGGGTAAGAGTCTGGTGTGTAACGAGAATTTCTGGGTGCGAAAATGATTGGTTTCACGATGCTACAGACAATATGTCTACATTCTCACAATGAGTGAGTAGCAACGCAGTAACACAGAAAAAGGCCTTGTGGTAGTAATCTGTCTTGTGGTAGTACTGCATAGAAAATATCTTTTGTGAGGAAGTGAAGATCTGAAGAGAACTGGTGGACCCAAAGATTTGTGGGCGGCATACATACCTACCATCTTTCACTTTAATCGGAACTAAGTTTTCAACTTGGGGTATTTCAGGAATCCATTTTGATTGTAGGCTTGAGCAGTCTAGAATTCTCAGAGCCGGTTCCAACTTAGAATCTCGATGCCAAGTTAAAATCGGTTCCCAAATATATAAAGAAAAACAGAAGGTTTAATCACCTGCTGCCGCGTGCTGTTAAAAATGCAATGCACACATATGGGCGATTTTGAAGATTTTCAGTTTTCAAACTCTTCAAAAATTCATCATTTCATTTAATGGACATTTACACCCACACAAATGACTATTTGGTGGCTACTCTAAGCTGACAGGCAACCTCCATTGACGTCCGAGTATTTCAGCCAGGCCTGCCTTGTAAAGAGAGCCCAGAATTGTGAGGTGTTGTGTAATTTCCTTTTTTCCCAGTGAATGCGAGTGACATCTTTTCAAACGCGGCTGGATTAATGTGCAGTGGTGCTGTGTCTCTCATCAATGGTGCCCTGGAACACTTTTGTGCCCGGTGCTAATTCGTGGGCGCACTATGCCCAAAACAGTGGTATACTGTTTCAAAACAGTGACGGATTGTCTTCGAAAAATGCAAGCTGAAAAATGATGGCAGTTCCCAGCAGCAGGTCTTTTGTTCCGAGTACGGTCTTTTATTACACTGACCAGCTCTTTTGTCCGATTTCGGGCAGCCCGGGTCTGCGTATAAACCCAAGGTGCCCGAAACAGGGCACTTGGTCTTTCTTCCACTGATTTAGGGTGCACTTCAGCTTGGGGCAGATTCCGATTTTTCTTTGGCACCGCGATTCCACTCATAACCGGGAGTGCTGCGCAAGCCTATTTGATTGTCCAAGAGACTACTAATACTCAGGAGCTTTAGAAGCACTAGCACCTGAACCCCCACTAGGGTGTAGCCCCTGAAACCCACCCATCTGAACCCCCACTAGGGTGTTGCCCCTGAAACCCACCCACCTGAACCCCAACCAGGGTGTTGCCCCTGAAACCCACCGAGTAGGGAACTTGCCTGGACTTTGTGTTCTGTTTTCTGTCTGACCAATGTTTGTGGGTATGAGTGTAGTCATCCTGGTATCAGGAGTCATTTTCTAGACGACAGGCAGGGCACATTGCCTGAAACATGAGCCCTCCTTTTAACCTGTTTGAAGACAATTCTGTATGAAAGCAGGAAAATGGAAATCTGACAAGATTCCCCGAGAAATGTGGTACTGTGTTGTGAAATGTCTGAGGTTGAAAACTTAACCCAAACTTCAGAGGTTTATGGATGTAAGTAGACTCCACGGGGTACATCAAAATCATTGCTGCTGACTGTTTTGTATCCAAACTGTTGAAGATTGAAATGTGTCAGCATTCTCTTCCTCTGACTACTAGGTGCAGCAGCATTGTCAGGCAGTGTCACCCACACTATATCAACCTCTGTCATAGTCTTTGAGTTGACAGGCCAAATCACCCATATTCTACCCGTCATGGTAAGTACATGTACATCCTTTAAGAGTCACCTCAAAATTTCTTCAAGATAAATTGCTGACAAGTTGCAGAAATAGTTGCATGTATACAGTGTATACATCTTTGGCAAACTCTCCCCAGTGACTTTGGTTATACATGTCCCCCCCAACTGTGGTTTGGGCCAGACTAGCCACTCGTTGATAATGGGCCACTCAAGGACACATTGTACATGTATGTGGGTCTTTATTTTAATATGGGGGCCAATGTGTATTTTAGGGACATCACAATTATCATGACCATTTAAAACAAGACCAGTTTCACTTTCCCTTTTAATTTTCATATGTATTTGTCGGTTAATATGTGCTGATTACATTCAATTCATTTACATTAAAAAATGTTGATTTACACAAGAATTGCAAGGGAAAACCTCGTCGTTTCTCACTGTTTTTAGTGTTTAGTGTGACATTTTTGATGACCTGTTTATAATCTGAATCCGTCATAATCTAATATAACAACGTAACATTTCGTTCCTCCAGTTGTTACAAAGTGAAAATCATTTTTGGCTGATAAAAACAAACAAAAAGCTGTTGCAAATTATTTCGAAAAAAAATGTGAACCGGCATCTAAGTACACGTATCTCTGCAACTCTGAATTCTTTGAAATTTTCTTCATTATCCAGTAAAGACAGAAGTTATGTTTTTAACTTTCAAGTAGGCCAGTGGGTGCGTGACAAGTTTGACAGTCCAACCTTGTCAATAACAGCACTTTAAATACAAGATTCTCCTTTAACAAGAATTATTTTTTAAGCCCCAGTCCTTAATTTTTCTACATTTTCATTATAAAAGGTTTCGTTTTTTATTCACAAATGTTGAACCCACTGCAATATGTGCAATGTTTGGTGACAATTGTAATGCTTAATATGACATCAAAATTGCTTCACATTAATTCCCATTCATTGGAAATATGGACAGGTTTTATAGTATCTTTGTATCTCTAATTTATTTGAAATCATTATTCGTTGACTGCAGTCATGAAATGTTGTTGCCATTGTTACAACAAAATCTAATGCAGTCCCCAGTGTAAATTAATGTTTGTACTGTGACAGTTTTCCTCTTGTGTAACAGAGAAACCAGTACACAGGAAATGAGTCATAAAGCTCTTTAAACTAAAAACTTCCCAACCCTTAATGTTTCCGGCAAAGGTGCACAAGCTAAAGGGCATACATACTTATGAGCTGTGCCATATATTTGCCATTTAAGCAACTCTGTGTTAAACCAGAAAAAACTTTTCAAAATAATTTTAAACATAGCCAAAAAGTGAATTTTGGGGGAAAATGTTTGCCCATTTTTATGCCGCCTCAAACCCTATCTAAAAAAAAACAACTAGTGATGAGAATATATGGTATGTACACAAAGCAAATTGGCAACAATTGAAAAGAAACCTTTACTAAAATGACATGCATAGAACGGTCATACTTGGTTTCTCTGTTACACGTCAAATAATTTGCTGCACCACTGCACAAATTTGAGTCTGTACACGTCAAGTAGTTATTCAAAGCAAAAATCATTTCCATTTATTGCATGTATCAATTACATATCAACAAGTTTTGAATTTGTTTAGACAATTCTGAAATTTAACTACCATGTCACACATTTGGCCCCTTATTTAAAATAAAGACCCATGTCTACTGCGCTGTTAATAATATTGATATATAGCTGCATGTTAACACTGAGCAAGGAGCTGGGTTAAAATCCTTAACAAACAATTTCTGAAGTACATTTTATTGACTATAGTTTCTCTTGTTAATGAAAGTTTCAAGGTGTAAATGTTATTTGGAAGTCCCTTCTTAGTGTGTTTTTTCTTCTGCCTTAATAAAGAAATAAAGAACAATAAGGCCACTTAGTTTTCATGATGTTGAAACACATGTATATTATGGGTAAGCACAAAAATATTTCTTTTTTCACACCTCTGACAACTCAGTTTTGCCTGAAAAACTCTTCAAAATACCTTTACATGCTAAATTAAGAAACCTAAAATTTCAATTTTATGTCTTCAATGTTTTATTGTGAAAATTCTGTTGTTTTGCCACTTCCATTTCTATGTTTGTTTTGGCAGCGTCTTTAAAGATGAAGATATTTTTTCTATCAAAGGTTGTTTGCTGAAAGGTGATTGAAGGCTAATTATTGCCTTTTTATATTCTACAATGGGAAATTGACCACCTTTTCAGGTCTGGAAGCTATGAATATCTGTAGCCCAAACTTTGTATCACCATTCAAGTGGTTTTTCAGATCTGAGGTCATAGGGTTGGATTGGTATAGAATGATCCATGTCCTGCCATACATGTCTGCTAAGGCTGTCTTTATTTCTTGCCAGATGGCCGTGTTGATTGCCAATGCCATTGCCCAGTTACTGCAGCCGTCCTTTTATGACAGCATCATCCAAATCAAGAAGTTGCCTTACCTACCAGATATCAGCCATGCTGGTTCTAAGTAAGTCAGCCCTGTCACCATTGCAGTCAGTGTCTGTAGAAACACTCACATATCCTCTTTGAATGCTTTATCTTGATTGGCAATCTCTGGCTTCAAAGCAACTATTGCCTTTCCCCTTTTTCCCCCACCATTGGCACCATCTTGAGCTTGCTTTTTACACTTGGCACTTACATAAATATCCCTCACACAAAAATGGAACCAGTGGGTATATTTGTAATTATACAAATTATGTTACATTCAGACCACTGTGATCGTTCCAGAGGGAGTGTGCACCGACTGATATTCAATTCAAGAGTAACTTTTTCATTCCTAAATGTACATATTGTTTAACTACATGTAGTTGAAATTTGAAAACATTTCCTTGTGGAAGTGGATGGTACAAATGTAGGGCAGAAAGGACAACTGAAGATTCTGTGTACACAGCTTCTTGAAATTGTACAGTGAGATTCTTGTCCTTTGGTTACAAACTGTTACACATTATGTCTCATGATCTTATTAGTGACAGTATTAAACAAGTGTGAGTGGAACACACAATAACGTAGCACGTCTGGGTCCCATATACCACGAGGGCATTCCGTGTTCCATGAATGTGAGCGTGAACTTGAAATGCAATAAAGATGTTATAGAGGCTTATGCACTCAAATGCGCCACCTTTGAATTTAAAGTCAATTTTGCAGTTGTGCGTTTTGCTTTTAGCATAAAAACAGCGCAGGGCATTGAGTTAAAAGAATGCATTACGTGGGGTTTGATATGAGCCATGCAATTCAGTTATATATCACAGGGTTTGTTGCCATGGATCGACCAATCAAAATTGAGAAGTCAACATATGTATTGTAGTTTAGTACGTACTGGTTCCCAACCTGCTTACATGTGTTTGTGTTTTTCTATGCAGGACCTATGAGATATTTGTTGAAGATATCATGGTGAGGTATGTCAAGTTCATATCCTGGCTCTCAACGTATGCAGACCTGAAGGAACTTTTGGATACTTCTCCCAAATTGCAGTCTTTCCCACTGGTTGATGCTCCTGGTGAGTTCATACAAGACTTCAGGAGGGACCATGACAGGAAAGGGACGAACATGAGTATTGCTAAGGATTTTCACTTCAAACCTTCAGAATTACCCATGATTTTCTGATCTGAGGATCAATAAAAATTCTTTTGTGGTTTAATGCGTGTGTCTTGTCAAATCAATCAGACAAGATAAGTTGTAACTGTAAACATAAGTAAGATTTGAAGCTTTGCATGGTGGATGAAACACGAGAAATGGGTTTGTGGGTACACCATGGAATCAATCTCTTTTGGATGAGGTGTGGTTCTTAAAAGTTGATACTCACCGGTTCTTTTCAGAACCACACCTCGTCCAAAAGAGATTGATTCCATGGTGTACCCGCAAACCCATTTCTCAGCTGTAAACATACTGACACACACAGGATGGACATACATGTACAACAATTTCCTGTAGACTCGAGTTTCACATACAGTGTATTTGGCCCATTTTTTTCCTTATGACTAGAATTCAAACACTTCTTGTAAGCAATGGACTTGACTGTTAACAAATTACATCAAAATGAAACACAAGAAATGGTCTTACTGCCTACTAAGGCACCATTTAAAATTCTTATTGGGTAGGTAGACTGGTCCGACGGATATATTTATTATGGGTTGGTTATCAGGTTAAGTGTTCTCAAGTGGCCAATTCCAACTGATAAAAGCTTTTTATTGCATTACTTCCAAGGCTGTGTGGTTTCAGTGATGCAACACCCCATCCATCATTCACTCAGCACAAGTCACTGTTATCTTGGTCGGATGGCCCTGTCCTATAGTCAACAGATAGGAATTTTGTAATAATGCCTAAGTTATTTCATAACAAAGGTGTTTCAGAGTTTGGGCGCCATTTATTTCTGTCGTCATTGAATGATGTCACATACTGTCGCTTCTTCTTGATACCTTATATGCTGTCCCAGTTTTTCAACCATGTGGAAATTACCTTAAAACTGTAATACAGACACAGGACAGAAAATACTAAAACAAAGCATAGGCTTTGGATAATCATTTCCCCTCTATTTGTCCATTTGATATCTTCAGTGGTCTTGATTCTATGTGTCACTGTGTCCTGCTTCACTCCTAGAGTCCATGATCTTGCTGGGATCAGTGCAGCGTAGTGAACTGGAATACATGATAGAGAAGAAGATTGGGTTAGCTCGGCGGCTGGCAGTAGTAGCTGACAGGAAGAGAGCCCAGGGGCAAAGCCAGCCAAGCCCCTCTGACCGCTTCTCTGTTGTCTCCTTTAATGCCAAGGCAAGTGGAGTTTAAAGTTATTTTTGATTTGAGCTTTCATAAGCCTCTCTGATTCAGACGTAATAGATGATATTGCTTTCAATCTGTTATCTTGGACCAGTAACTTGTGGAAGTTAACACACTACATTAGAAAGTAGGGAAGACTCAGTAAGCCTTTTGTGAGATAAATTTGAATAAAACTCTGGTACAATGAGTTCTTTAAATTCACATAAACATAACAATTTGAATTCTCCATACTAAAGGCCCTGCAACAATACACTGTTTTCAATGGATTAGAAGGGCGCAAAGGAACCATTCTATTCCAGAGATAGTGGTTCCTAAGCAAAAGCTTGCCCCAAATCATGAGGTATAGCAACAGTGTCGTTAGTCTGGCGAATTCAAATTGTTGTGTTTATGTGGAATCATGTAACTCAGTGTACCAGATTTTATTCAAATTTAACTTGCAAAAGGCTTATTATAATCCATTTTTGGTGGAGTAAACCCTTGCCGTAATGAAAGCTGAATGTGCAATCTTCAAGACACTATTTTTGACAGTTGCTTCTTTTCATGCACAGACTCTTTAAAATTGTATTCTCTTTTCTTGCCAGAAATCTCTTGATGGAAGTCTCTTCTGTAACCCCAAGTTTTTGTCTGAGTCTGTTTGAAGTAATAAGAAAAGTTGAAACTTGAAGTTCATGTTAGTTCAAAACTAGAAAAACTAGACTTGATTTGATTCTGACTTGATTCCTAACGGCCTAATGCTAAAATGTTGCCAGTCCAGACTCAGCAACTCCAGTCTAAGATCATCATTACATGACAAATGTGTAGTAGAGTCCAGGCCCCAGATTTGACTGATGCAAGTCCCCCAGTCAAGCAAGACATGTGTACAGAACTGGACTAAAATGCACTTTGTTAAGTATACTACTTGTAATCATTGACACCTTGATGAGGATCTGATAAC